GAAGCCAGAGAGCAAGGGTCCCTGCTCTTCGCCCAGCAGAATTGAGCTGAGGAACAGAGAGGGGAGCCTGCCACCCTACACCTCTAAGCCGCATGCTCTGCAGAGCCGGGCAGTCTGGGGAGGGAGCTGGGGTGCCCCCCGCCACCCATGCTGTTCTGAGCTGTGGAACAAGGTCCCTGGCTTCAAAGCCACTGTATTTACTTTCTCACGTGGCACCCAGCTCCTGGCACGAGGAGGGTGATTGCCCAGGGAAAGAAATGGAGGGTTGGGCCTGGTCTCAGCCTTCAGCATGTCCCAAAGAACAGAGGGGAAGCAAAATGCGCAGCAAGACCACAGATGACCCCCCCCCGCCGCAAAATACCTGGGACCGTTGTCCTGACTGGCAGCGTAGATGTTACCCTCGGGAGCGGAAGGTGAGTCCCTCATGTACAACATCTAGCCCCCAAGGATGAGGAGTGTGTGGATGACGTTGTGAATGCTTTTGACCGTACAGCTGCATACTTTTTAATTTAGAATTTTAGTTGGGATTTTGGCCAATGATTGCAAAACTGGACGGACAGGAGGACCGAGGCGCTGACTCAGAGCCTGACCGGTGCTGGCCTGGGCCTTCCTGGAAATGAACTCAGATGGTGGCGGCGGCTGCTGCGTGGGAGAGGGAGGGAGGGTCTCTGAGGTCCAGGTGGTGGTTTGGGCAGCCCCGGGGTCTCCAGCCCCACCTTCTGTGCGTGTGTGGATGTTAATAAAGTCCCTACCAGCACTGTAAGGTCCGTGTCTGTGTGCTGTTGACTCATGATTATCCACAAATAAATCTCTTTCTGATGATGTTTTTGCAGTGCAGTGATTTCTTTTCCTGTGAGGAACTCCCCATTAATTATCCCCTAGTACCTGAAGCCCCTCGGCCCCCCGGACAGCCCGCCCGCCTAGCAGTGCTTATTGCTGAGACGCATGGGATGAGGCCCTGAACGTGCTCCCCTCTTAAAGGACTAAGCCTGCCCGACGACCCGACCTGACCCACCCTCCGAGGCCCAGGTCTCCTCTCTCATCTGCTCTGTGCCCTGGGGGCTGGCCTGTGAGCTCCGCCTGAGGGCAGGGGTGCTGGGGAGGGTGCGACTCCCTTTCCCCAGCCCCTCCGAGCCAGACTCTGAGAACCAGCTTTAGCCACTGATCTGTGTCACTGCTCCTTCTGGGTTCCAGTGCCTGGGGTTCAGTTCCCTCACCCCTGGGTGGTGACGGCGCTGGTCGTACTGGCCGGACAGGTACCGAGCTCCCACTGTGATTCACCCACACCTTTGTGAATAAATCCGCAGGCAGTCTCTAGGAACACCAGGCTCCTTGCCTGCCAGAGAGGCGGAGGAGGGTGGGAGAGAACATGGGAATCGCTTTATGTCTTGAAATGTCACACTCCACCTCTCGAACCCACTGCGGACTCTCCCATGCCCCTTCGCGGGCCCGCAAGGCCCTCGTGGTGGACGACTGTGTGTGGCTGGCGTAACACACTTCCACAGATGCGGTGGCTTAGAGCGACGCTGACGCACACAGCGTGGAGGGCAGGCAGGTCAAGATAGGCGGGCAGGGCCGCTTCCTCCTGGAGGCTCCGGGGAGAAGGTACTCTCTGCCTTTTCCAGCTTCTAGAGGGGCTGCATTCCTGGCTCGTGGCCCCCCACATCACAGCCAGCACTGTAGCCTCTGTGGTCTGACTCTGACCCCTGCCTCCTCTTCTAAGGACACTAGGATGACATTGGGCCCCCCAGAGAGTCCAGGATCACCGCTCCAACGCAAGATCCTTTGCTTAATCACATCTGAAATGTCCCCTTGCCAAGTAAGGTAACATCCACAGGTTCGGGGCCATCCTCGGGGGGGACCCACTTTAGCCCTCTGCGTCCTAGGGGTGTGAGGTACCTGGGTCCTCACACCAGTCACCCGTCTCTCTGAGGCTCTGCATGGAAGATCCAGCAGAGGACCACGCATGGCTGTCAAACCTCAACCATCGGGAGGATTCCTGGTTCGGGCTTCCCCTGGGGGGGTTGGGAAGGCCGGCCTGGAGACCACACCACCTAGGGCTTTCCCAGACTGGGTTCCCAGAAAAGAGCCTAGCCTAGCCCCACTCTTGAGCACAGTAGTATGGGGGGGGGTGCCATCCCAGGGTGGCAGGTGAGGACAGGAAAAGGCACAAGGCAGGGAGAGGGAGAGAAGACGCCCGACAGGGTGTGACCTAGCTGGCCGGGCGGCCTGCCGGGCTTCCAGGTCTCCCATCTCCTCCAATGGGTTGAAGTCCACCCCACAGGGGCGGGCGCCCCTGGGCTTTGGAGGTGTGCTGCCTCGCCCCAGGGTGGGTGTGGGTCCCACCGGGCTGGACATCGGTACCAGAGCTGCCGCAGCAGAGGCCAGGGCAGGTTGGGATGGACAGGCTAGGGAGGCCTGGGGCCTGCAGAGGTGAGCCGGGTACGGTACAGTGACAGGAAGCCCTGAATCAGATGAGGAGTCCCCTCCTCCATCATGTGGTCTCTTGCCAACCACCTGCCTGCCAGCCGCTGCCAACTCTGTGCTCGTGGTCCCCGTGCAGTGGGGGCGCCAGCTGGAAGGCCATGTACCTGACAGGCCACCAGTTCCTGCACAGGGCCTGCACCTGTTTGCATTCCCAGCCCACTGGGGGGTTACAGGGTTCCGGACGTTTGCCGGGGGAGCAGGACAGAGACGGCCTCAGCACGGTTTCACTCTGCTCTTCTCTCATGAAGACTGTTACATGGAGGGGCGCCTGGGGGGCCCGTCGGTGAAGCATCTGCCTGCCGTCTCGGGCCATGATCCCGGGGTCCTGGGATCGAGCCCCACATCGGGCTCCCTGCTGCTCCCTTTCCCTCTCCCTCTGTGGGCTCTCGCTCTCTCTCAAATCAATCAGTCTTTTAAAAAAGTGCTACATGGGCATTTTAATAATTGTTGTGATTGTGTTCAGGTCTTTGATTATTTTACAATAGGATTTTTCATCCTTTTCTCCCCACTTTTAAGAGTTCTTTATACATTAGCAGTATTAACCCTTAATCAGTTACAATTACGTTCTCCAAGTCTGTAATTGGAGTTGTAGATCAAAAGCCTTTGTCCAGCCTGGACTATAGAGGAATTCACACGTTCCTCTAGAATTCTCATTTTTTTCTAGCCCTTGTCTGCTGGAGCCACGTGCCTGCTTTTGCAAGGACAGAAAATGCATGAATGCCATTTCCAAGCAGCTCAGTGAGAGTCTCCTAGGCACCCCACCTGGTGGTGACAGATTACCCACACCAATGATTGTGTCCAGTGCATGAGTGACATCAGTTACTTGTTCCTCTATCTCTAGGCCGATGTGCACCTGATCCCATCTGAGTCAGCTGACTGTGCTTTCCGCTGGCGCCGTGTTCCGGGAGCAGCTAGAGACAGGGTGTGGTGGGGTCTGCTCCTCTGAGCTGGTGGGGAAGCCGGGGGCCCCCTGGAGGGGCAGAACCAGGGCTGGCAGAGTGCGCTGACCTGTCCGGCCCGGGGGGGATGCAGGGTCAGGCTTTGGGAAAAGTGACATTCGCCGAGAATTCTGGTTGGAGGAGAGAGGAGGCTCACCTGAGGGCAGCTGGGAAAGGTGCCCACCTGCTGGCCCAGGGGGGCTCGTTCCCACCTGGGGAGCTTGAGCACTGGGGTCTGTGACACTCAGCAGTGGGCTGGGTCCCTTTTGCAGTCTTCTTGGTCCTGGAGAAACAGATGGTACTCCCAGGGGTGAATGGAGGAGGGCTCAGTGAGGGGCCATTCCAGGCATTTAAGGGGCCATGGTTGGGGGGGGGTGCGTCACCAGCCTGGCACGAAGGGCTACCTGGTGGGTAAGTTGCAGAACTAGAGAAAAGTCCTGTCGTAGGCAGACACGGACAGGAACCCCATGGTGGTCCCTGCACTGAGGAACCAAGGGGTAGATGGAAGAGCGTACGAACCCCAAACCAGCTCTGGATTACTGTCCCCATGCTGAGTCGCAAAGTATGCTCAATCTTCATTTCAATGCAAAATTGCTTGACCGCCAAGAATAAGAGCCTGTTAGGAAAGCTTTTTATTCTAGTTCAAGGACAGTGACTAGGACACACATAGCTCGCATTAGGGTGTTCCTCAAAGCTTCGAAGCTGTCTGCTCACCACGCTACCCCAGCTCTTCCTTCCCTCGAGATCCAGACGGCCCGATCCTGCGGCCGCAGAGCCAGCTCAACTTGCCCCACGCCGCAGACACAAAGAGGTCTGGGAATCCGAGACCAACACGAACCCTCGAGAACAACTTTCTGCCACGACCTGAACCACCCAGACACCTCACCAGTCCTCCCTCTCCCGGTAACAGTAACGTTGTGCCCTTTGCTTATGAAATGCAGACACAGGGCAAACCAAGCGCAGGACTGACGTCACTGATGCAGGGACCCTCTGTTGAGAACTGGAGACGTGCTATTGCCCAGGAGCTCCACTGTACCAGCACACACAGCTCAGAGCAGAAGTTCAAGAGACTCTGCAGGTGGCCGGTGCTCAGCGAGGCCGACTGACTCTTCTGCACGCCCACCTCTGTTACCTGAAATGTTACAGCCTCTTGCACACACATCTGTGTATTTCTACCAGAGCGTAAGGCGGTGTGTGAATGTGTCCAAGTACCCTAGAGCTAAGGGTCTAGAATCAGATTTACCCAAATCCTTTCATTTTTATGGGGAAAACTAGGGCCTAAAGACAGGATGAAGTCAAGGCATTGAGTGTGGGTAGCTGTGGTTTGAACACAGGCTCCTGGAATCCTGGGTCCTCCACCCACTCATCGTGACCTTGGGCAACTCCCCCAGGGCGCAGCTCCGCAGGGGGAGGGCGGGGGCTGGCCAGCTGCCGCCGGCGCGTGACCCAGGAGGGGCCCCGTGCACAGCAGCCACGTGGCGATAAAACCACCTCATAAACACGTCCCTTCGCCTCCGACGCGCCTCTATGTGATTATGGTTTCAGATCAAAGAAAACACCCAAACAAAGGAGTAAGTTCATAAAGATTTAAAAATATGTATTTAAAGAGAATATAAGCCCTCTTTGACAGTAATTAAGATCAGTGACTGTGTTGACTTTGTCTCTCCCGCTGAAAATCAGGAACAGAGTCGCAAAAGAGGTGGTGACATCCCCCCCCCAAGTGGCCCCGTGTAGAAACGACATTTTTGATCCCAGGCATGTTCACAGAGGACAGAACCACATGGACGAGCCCTATTCAGAGTGGGAGCTAGAAATACGCCAACTCGTCATGCCTGGCTTTGTTGGTCTGATAGCTGGACAAGGCCACAGGCTTGTTTTCGTGAGGAAGACTTCGAAATACTCGAAGGTGCACAAACTCATCATCGTCAACTTGAACCTGGAGAGACGGAAGGAGGTTAAGGTGAGTGAGGGGCAGGCAGGGCCTGTGACCCCACGTGCCCCTGCTGGGCCAGCCTGCATGCCAAAGGCCCTGGATAGGGGTAGGGGGATCCCTTCGGGTCATCAGCTTCCTGCTTGTCGCCCTCCCGGCCACCCGCCGCCCGTGGCTGACCCTCACCTTGATGAAGTAGTTCATCCCGGCAACCACCTGGCTTCTGAACTCCACAGCCTTAAATGTAGCATACTTCTTATTTTCCCGTTCTTCCAGCTGGGGTTTAACCTTGGGGAGGGGACAGAACGGAGAACCTTAGTGGCTTCGCTCCTGTGAGAGGCGCTCACACAGTCTATTTCTCATGTGAAATGCTACACACTGGATTCCTGTATTACCCTTTACAGACTTTCTGTAACCCGATTGCTCTTTATAGTGGAGGGAAAGCGCAGAAAACAATTCCTTCAATCTACCGGTTTCCATGGTCCTATTTCAGTAGATCACTGGCGCCCTTCCTGTTCTAGGAATATCATGGGATATTTTAATATTGTCACCATTATGGGCACCTGGGTGGCTCAGTCAGTGAAGCGTCCGCCTTCGCCTCAGGTCATGATCCTGGGGTTCTGCGATCGAGCCCTGCATCGGGCTCCCTGTCCAGCCGGGAGTCTGCTTCTCCTTCTCCCTCTGCTCCTCCCCGCTGCTTGTGTGTGCACACACTCTCTCTCTCTAATAAATAAAATCTTTAAAAAATATATATTTTTACCATTACAGTACTATATGCAAATTTACAACCTGTTTTCAGTCTTAACACTTGAACAGTTTGTCTGAAAGGCTATATAATTTTTTACTCTTAAAATCGAGAAGTAAATCATTTTCAAAATTTTAAACTAGATTTTACATTAAATTTAAAGGTACTCTTCCATCATATAGGCGTGCCCCAGTTCTCTTCACTATTTCCCTTCCGTGGGCACGACTGGGCCATTCCTGCACGGATGCAGCAGATACAGGGCTTCGCGGTAAAAAGCACTTTGCTGCATTTTTTGAGGATTTCTTTAAGATGCAGAGCCTCTGGGCAGAAGCTGATCCTCGTCTTAAATGTCAAATAGTATTCATACTTTTGGGTCAATCCTATTTTCCAAGGTCTTGGCGTTTTAGGAACCGAGCATCTTTACGGCATAGGAATACAGGTCTTTTTTTTTTTTAATGTCATCTAGTTTAAAAGTTCCTCCCGGGGTTGACAGTAGGCACTGCAGTGTGCAGACTTCGTGAGGGAGGGACTGGGCTAGTTCCAGAAGGCTAGAGGTTTCTGTTACACTGGCTGCAGCAGGCAGCCTTGTTCCTGGGAGGCAAGGGGGGCGGGGTCACCAACCCTACACACAGTGAGTCAAAAGGCTGCCTGTGTGGCCTTCATGGAGGCGCCCCTGCTGGGGAAAACGGACAGAAGGCTGGACTCCGGGCAGCCAGGTGGGGAGAAGGCCAGCCACTGCCTGTTGTCATGGTGGCACCTGCCTGTCTCCCTGCCGCCAGTGCCTACCTGCGTCTGAACGCTCACCTGAGACCCCTCCTTCGTGCAAGCGCCATGCTAGGTCTGTGCGGAACGGACTTTGCAGTTTACAAAACTAGGGGCTGGGGGTGTCGGGGGGGTGTGAGTGACGCCCTCAGAACGGCCCGGGGGTTTGGGAAAGGAATCACCTCTTCGCCGGCTTCGGGACTGGAGGCAGGAAAGCCCCGGGCTGCGGGCAAGGGATGGTAAGGACACCCGAACAGAGGTGGTGCAACAGGCAGTGTGGCCAGGCCTGGGCCCTGCTGCAGAAGGGCAGCTCACCGACACCGGTGCCCACCGGGAGAAAGAGGGGGCTGGAGGTCAGTTAGCAGTCTTCAGGGGATCGGGCGGGGGCAGAGGACCGGGGAAGGCCCCAAGACAGGACTGGGAGGCGCTTGTCATTGATTGGCGCGCGTACAGAATGTCTTCGAAGCCGGTCAGTCCCAGGGAGCTCTTCTTGCGTGCAGCCCAGAATGCTCCCCTAAGGAGTCAGTGCAAGCGCGCAGGAGGGGGCGTCCCTGCCTCTCTCCTCTTGGAGACCTGCCAGCAGATGGGCTGGCCGCCTCAGTTTCCCCCAGCAGCAACACCACTGCTCCAGGTCACTTTCCAATGGTCAACATTAAATGACCTTACACACGTTCAGCCCTGCGCAGACAAGTGAGGAATTTCCTAGGGCCGGAAAAGCAGGAGCGATGAGGAAGGGCTGGGCCCTCCAGCCCGCGGCTGCGGGGAAGAGCCCGGAGCCGCGGCGCAGGCGGGGCTCGCACAGCAGTCGCTGCAAATTCCTCATTTGCACAGGTCTCGTGGGGCTGAGTCACCGCCCTTCACGGCGGTCGGATGGCGGAGCCACCTGGGCCAGGCCGGGGCCGCCCCGCGCAGCGGGCGCAGGGCGGCGGCAGGGGAGGGGCGTCACAGCAGGAGCCCCGGGCCTTCTCCCCGCTCTGGACCCAGGCCTTCGCGCCCCGACCCGCAGCCCGCCCGTGCCCCGCGCGCCGCCACCTGCTGCGGTCGTGGAGCTGGAACCCAGGAGGCCGGCCTCCGGCGGCTGGAAGGCGCTCTGGGAGGCGACCCCAGGCTGGCACCCGCGGGCCCCGCAGCGGGGAGCTCCGTCCAGGGCCCCGCCCGCTCCCGCCTACCTGGTCGGCGATGGCCTGGGTCTCGGCCGTGGCGGGCTGCGCGGCGGTGGGCGCCCCGCACATCATGCTGGCGGCGGACGGAAGAGGAGCGACGAGCGGAGGAGGAGCGGCGGGCAGAGCAGCGCCCAGCATCCAGGTGTCCGCTCTCCTTAAAGCTGGCGGCGGTCACGTGG